TTCATGTTTGAGTGGGCAGTTCTTGAAAAAAAATTGGTATACTTTTAGTGCAACTGAATTTGAGGAATAAGGAGTGCAGGTGACAACAATATAATTGAGCAACCTCCACTGGAGCAGTTTTTACAGAGGTTACCACATAAGTTTGTTTCTGCACAATAACCAAAAAGAAAAAAGATTAGCACAAGGTGTTGTATCCATGAACGCTACTCTTAGAACCAATCTTTTGGTCTTAAAGTTGCCATTAGACTCTTTCTTCTCCTACAACCTAGTCACCAATTCTTGATTTGAAATTTGGTCAAATGTATTCAAAACATATTTCTTAATGATTCTCAAATTAATTTTAAATCTGGGCTCTATATTTTCGTTACAATTTCCTAAAAATAGCAAGATTGTTTTAGCTAGATTGAGGCAAAATGTTCTACTTTGTTGTTTCCTTGTTTTATCAGATTTCCACTGATGTTAAAAAAAGTTAGCCCCAAGTACAAAGATTCACTTTAGTAACTAAGTAACCAAACTTTACTTATTAAACAACCTAGGACCTTTAATCATTGTGCTGAATGAGGTTATCTTCTAACAAGACACAAATTTCAAGGAGCCAGAAATGATTTACATTGGTCAGAGGATGTCCATGCTCTTCTCCTACTCACTGACAGCCAGCATATTCTATAAAAACTAATTTTTATGTTTGAGAGGTAGATTTCATTTTGTATAGATGGTTGTCAAGATCAGTACAAGCGTCCTCGGTTGCTCCATCTACTGATCTTTCTGCAGCACTATGAATTACAGACTTATGACATCAAGCAGTTTGTTCTTTAACTATTGAGAGTCATAAAACAACACTGGCCTCAATTCAATGTTATTTACACCCAGAGCAGACTTTTTGAAAGTAAATGCTCATCATTGCTTCTATGATATCAGTGGATTTATTATGTTTGGGACTAATACGGGATTCTGCCATATCTTTTAGAATGTTTCCCAGTGAACGGGGCTTCAAGCTTGTGTTAATGCCTCCCAATGAAATTAAAGTGATTGGCTGGTATCCTACTGGTATACATGTAGGATGTGCATAATTTGCTGCCGCCAGCTGACAAGGTGACAGAGTACATCTCGGCGCATTATCACAGAGATGTGCTCCAGCACTATGTGAATTAGTTGCAATCAGCAGCAGGAGGTTTTTGCAACTTTACATGAACACTGGTATGATCCTGGTAATTAAGTTTGGAAAATACCCAAAGCTAATTTCCCCTGGGTTGATCAGCTCACTTGTTTAATCAATGCCTGGGAGCCAAATAAGTTGAGACACAAAAGGAAAGAGATATCCATACTATATTAGGGAATCAATATGAAGAGTATTTTTACTATGACTCAAAAGTAACATCGTGTTTTATGGCTATGAAATAAAACAAAAGGAGGTTGAACGATGACTGATAGCTCCCTACATTTTATGTTCTTTATATATTTTACAATGGAGACAGCAACCTCCAGAGGCAACGATGTGACACATACTGATGTTGAACATTGGGAGGCTGCACTGGCATCCACTTCCATACAGTAATTCCCACCCCCAAGAAGCCCTCCCATCTAGTGACCCCTCCAAAAATTTTTAAAAGGATGTATTTATCTTATTTATTTCATATATTTTTCATCTTTCATTTCTAGGGATGAGTAGGATTTGAACCCAGGTGCCCTGAGCTGTAATCAGCATTCTAAACCACTACAAATACAAAGTGAGAAGCCCTCCTAAGATAGCAAAATTGCCCCCCTTGCCCCCTAGAGAACACAAGCAGACTTTGCACCAATTAAAAATAAATAAATGGAGGGTGTGTAATTGACAGGTTGGGAGCTGCATTCAGGCTCTGGGACAGGGAGCTGTTTGCAACCCACAGGCTCCATACTGCCCATCCTATTCTACAAAGCCTCAAACACCACACATTAACTTTCTTAACAGGCATTTTTAGAAGTGGGGAAACAATATCAATGACTGTTCTAATGATACAATCAAATTATATACCTTCAAAACTCATGATATATCAGACAAGAAGAAATGCAATGGAAGAAGGGAACACCTGGGCATTTTGGTGAGCATGTACTCAGATCATTATACTGTACGTATGCCAGTTTGTTTGCTCTGCCTTTTCTTTCAAGCTGTCTGTGACTGTGTCACTACTGAAGAAACACCATCCAATCAGCCAGCATGCTAAGATCACATTCACCAGGTAGCTGCAACATCCTGCCAATTGATTAAGGAAGGGGTTTGTTTCAGTGGTTGAGCTCAGCAGCCCAGGTTCATTCACAGACACCTCTAGGTAGGGCTGGAAAAGGCTCCTCTCTGGAACCTCTGAGAACTGCTCTCAGTTGGCACAGACAGGACAGAGCTGCATGGACCAATCTAGGCTGGAATCATGCAGTCCAACTTCCCCTGTTGAATATTACTGTTACTGACAGCAGTTCTAGCTTTGTCATTATAGAACAACAGAAAGTGCTTGTATACTGAAGTTTATGAGAAAAATAACCAGCTCGGAAGCTATTTTTAGACAGATGAATCACTTTGTAGGGTTAGTTAGTTAGGCATCCTTCAGTCTTCTTCAGTATACTAGTTCCCTCTAGTGGAAGCAAAACAGAAAGGAACATATTGTCTGTTGCAAATCTATGTACATTTTTCAAGAGTGCCATCGTATCTTTCTTTAGAGTTCAGTATATGAGGATCAGCTTGTTCACTGATACACGTTTGTCAGCAGTGCCAGAAGTCACTTTGCTGATCATGCCACACTTATTTTCATATGGCATATGACTGATTTCAGTGCTGAATAGCTCAGTGGTTTGGCTATCTGGCTGCAGAGCCAGTTGGGAGTTCGATTCCCCACTGTGCTTCCTTGACAGGGGCTGGACTCAATTATCTATAGCAGTAGTCCCCAACCTTGGGCCTCCAGATGTTCTTGGACTACAATTCCCAGAAACCTTCACCACCACCTCTGCTAGCCAGGATTTCTGGGAGTTGAAGTCCAAGAACATCTGGAGGCCCAAGGTTGGGGACCATTGATCTATAGGGTTCCTTCCAGCTCTGGAGTTCTAAGAGTATTGTTTTTATTATTATTCAGACTGAGTGTTAAGCTTACAGAGTAAAACTAGCACTACACAGATACACAGACACACGCCGCCCAGAAGCCACTGGTAATGGTGTGGCTAAAAATACTGTAAATAAATAAATAATAAATATAAACAAGCTGCAATTTTAAAGAAGTATGAACAGGGTTGTTTTTTTTAAAAGTCTAAGGTGGGAACTTCCCATCCCCACAACAACAACAAAAAACTAAACTAAAAAACAATCAGGACAGAATCGTTTGGCTACAATGGAATTCTTTCTGATTACTAATGAAAAAGCATGAAAACTGGAGGAGGAAGAACAGGATAGAGGAAGCTGAACCCAACAGCTAATTGACTAGAACAATCAACAAGAGTACCCTACACTGCAACATATAGTTGTACACAGATTCCATGTCTCTGAGCAGAGGTTTTTCAATTTACCATTTTGTGCAGGGTGGGGTGGGCGATTTTTATGAAACTTGAGCATGTTATTCCCTGAACATGCTTTAGCTGCAGATTTCTTGCTTTGACAGAGGCTGGACTTGTTGACTCTTTGGGTCCATTCGAGCTCTATAGTTCTGCAATCCTATGATTCTACTGACACATGTAAGGTTTTTTTTTCAGAAGCAGTGACAAGCTGGTATGTTTGAACTGTCCATCAGGGTACCTGCATTCCATCAGGGTACCATTCATTCATTCATTCATTCATTCAGTTTTTTCAGAAGCAGTGACAAGCTGTTTGAACTGTTTATCAGGGTACCTGCAAGCACCATTCACACATGTGTCTCACAAGGAAGTTTCACTCAGTTCAACTGGACTAACACACAGGTAAACGTGTATAGCTTTAAGGGTCTTTACTATAACTGGAGGCATGATACAGCTTGTTCATCAACTTCTCTATTCAGTTTATTTACCAGGATTTCCCAGTAAACTGAACTGAGCCATTTCTAACTGATTTTTCATTTGCTACACTTGAGGGATCCAAGTTACTTATGTGTTACAATTTGTTTCTCCTTTCCATAAATGGCAACTTCTTCCAGGAGGTTTCTGAACATTTTACATATTTAAGCACTTTTGCAGCTTAATGATACAAAGAAATATTGGATTTGAATAATGACTTTGGCTTATAAACTGCCAGAGAAAATGCACATCATTACACAGATTTCCACTTCTTTATTTTACTAAGCTTTAATCAGCAACAAATAGTTGGAACTAGTTAGAACAGGAAGAGTATAGCTTGCTCATCTTTACTATGCTTGACCAATGTCTTTAGGTTCATCAGCTACAAAATTTCTTTAAACAAATAAAGCTGACAACTGAACACATGTTTCTGGCATTAGTGGCCAGTTTACTCTATAAATTAGTGACTTCCAAAAAGTCCTATTATCAACAGTCCTGCTCAGCTCTCGTCAACTCAAGTCTGTGGCTTTCTTAACAAGTAAATTCATCTTGAAATGAATTAGAGAGAGCATATTTGTAAGATTTGATTTTATTGAGCTTCTAATTTTTCCACAAATTAAATCTGTACAATTTTCACAGTGATTCACTCCACCCTAATCCTGGCCTGCATGAAACCTGGCATTTTTCCAAACATGTATTACATTCATTCATTCATTCATTCATTCGATTTTTATGTCTACTCGGGGCGGCTTACATCGATAAAGACACATCAATATAACATGTATAAAATCACAAAGACTTTATATATATATACAGAGAGAGAGAGAGAGATCACTTAATTACTTTAATACATGCAAATGTATGCACTGCTGTACATTTTTTGGTGAACCATTCTTCAAATTCCTGAGGAATATGAATTTCAAGGTCCAAATGCATTTTCGGTTGTGTTTCGGCTGGAAACTGCAAACTGAATTAGTTTCTAAACCCATTCCTACATTGGAAATGGAGCTACTCACCTGAACATAAACAGCGCCCTCTACTGCTACTTTTAAATCTGTGCAACCTTTAATGAGAGACAGCTGCTCGTCAGCCTTCAGTGAACCTTTCAGCATTCCTATCTTTTCCAGTTCTTTCAACTGTTCACTGGTAAAGACAAAAAGAAAGAGAGTGGTATTATTCATTTCTAGAATTATTATGTTAATCACATAGAACAGTCTTATGCCACAGATTTAAGAAAGCTTTCCTCACCTATTGCACACGGTGCGTGATAATACACCTAACAGAGTAACTGAAGCTTGGAAAAATGTTTGAACAATAACTCTCAGAATTTCCTAGCAACACTGGCCAGCAGTTTCTAAGGGGTGTAACACATACACGCCCTGAAATTAACATTGCAAGCTGTGAGAATAAGCTGCCATCCAGCGTATCTCTTACTCTTTGGTATCAAGCTTTGACAAAGTGTCAAGTTTCAAAGGTTAGGTCAAAATCTTCTATACAGTATATTGATGTTCTAGTTGCATTAGGGAGCACTTTGCTGATAATAAACTTATGTAACTGCAAATGCAGGCACTTTTCTACAGCAAAGAACAGAACCAGAAAAACAAGTTATGATCAAAAATGTCTGAAAAAAATGAGAAGCTTTAAATCCCAAGGACCTGGTCTAGCACCAGATTTCTAGAAACTCAGTGACTATACACCTGAATCCGCCACCACCGCTAGTCTTCTGACGCATAATTTTTTTATTTAACCACACATTAGTTGAATCAGAAGGTTCCACAATGTAGTGCAATAGCATCAAATCCACAGTCAGAGTATCCTCTGGACCAAAAACCCTCCAAGGAAGGGAATCCATAATCTTGTGTCTACTGTCAGAGAGCATTTACTGGCCGGAAATTATTATTCTTCTTTAGCTGAAATCTCCATTCTGGGATTTAAAATCAGATTATATTTGCTCATTCCTTTCGTATTCTTGGATACAGTTCACCCTGCCCTAGAGGCCTGAATTCATTTAATGAATTAAATTCTTATACAATGATGCCTCTTTCTCTTCCTCAATGTGGCATAAAGGTGATCATGGATTCCTAAAGGTTACCACAACCAGTGGAGTGCCAGCTCTGGGAGATTCTACCAATGTAACAACGACTTTAAGTACAGAGTGAGGGGGGAAAACCCTCCTTCTTGGTCAATGTTTGTAGACCTCAGCTGTCAGATAGTCCCAGAGAACCCGTGGCCCTGAAATTTTCAACCCACAGCAATGTTTTTTTAAAAATCTAGAACAGCAGCATTTCGTCCCAAGTGGATATGAAAGGCTCTCTGCAGCACAATCAGAGATATGTTGTTTTTGAGAAACACTTCAATGACAAATGCACAGCACGTATCCGTCCAAGCAATGGTGGTGACTGAAAATGGTAAGTATAAACACTTCAATGACAAATGCACAGCATGTATCTGTCCAAGCAATGGTGGTGACTGAAAATGGTAAGGCATATGCTACCAAAAGACCCCATTATGACCCACCCCATTTCACTAGCTTAGATCAACAGTAAGCTAAATCCAGGAAGTTTCCCTGCCTCACCTTGTATAACCTCAGTATCAGAATGTATTATTATCAATGAATAGTGACTGGAGGTGAAGCTATTTAAAATACTGGAAGCTATTGTACATAACTGAGTTTTAGTCACTTTTGTATACTCACAAGCAAGGTATTTATGTAACTGGGCTATACTTTACATGCTTAGCTGGAAACTTGTTTAACATTGACCTGTCCAATTTGAATAAATAAAATGACCACTTTAGTGGTCTCCCGCTGTATGCCCCTCTCATTTCTGGAATGTGACCCTGACAACACTCCCAAACTAAAATTAGGTTCTTGGACCAAAACAATCTCCTAGCTTTGCTTTAACCTATACAGTCAGGCTATAAAAACTTGTGCTTAAGAGACATAAAAGAATGAACTCACTCACAACTTGTGCTCACAATGCAGAATTTCATTAGAGATGTGTCAGTTCAGGTTTCAGTGGCAGCTAGGCGTGCATCTGAATAGTGAAAACTGGTGTGTCAGCTGCACCCATTCTTGAAAATGCCTCACTTGGCTACAGTGACACATGTCCTACTTACATCCCATTTGGATCACTGTCACATGCTCTATGTGGAACTGCCTTTGAAGACAGTTCAGAAACTTCAGCCGGTTCAAAATGCTGCAGCCAGACTTCACTGCCTGCCAGTCCATTCCGAGCCCAATTCAAAGTTCTGGTTATGAGCCATAAAGCCCTCTATGGCTAGGTTCAGGCTATTTGAAGAGCTATATCTCCCCATATAATACCTCTGTTTCTGAGATCTTTAGGGGGAAGGCCTTCTCTGAGTTCCAACACCATTGCAGGCACATTTGGTAAGGACCCAAGAGAGAGCATTTTTAGAGGATGCTCCCAGTGAATGGAATTCCCTGCCTCATGAAGCTATGTTGCCCCCCTTTTTAGAGTCCTTCTCTTAGAAAGCTTCCCTTTTAAAGTTGAATTTTAATCTCTAAACCTTGCAAGACTGTATTTTTTTAGAAAGGGTTGCAGCATATTTTATTGATATTATTTTTTTAAAAATAACTGCTTAAAAACATAAGCATTTAAATACATAATGTCAAATTTCTACTTTGATCTACAAGGGGAAAAAACACCCACTGCACTGGTGTTACTGGGGAAAAAGGAAGCTGGTGGTAATCATTGTGTCATATGCACAAATATCAGCACAGTGCAAACAGTCATATGGAAAAATGATATCTGAAATGCATCAGCAGTCTGGGTAATCAGATCAGATTACTGTCCTTTCCTTCAAAATGTTCTCCATTGACAGATAATGGAATTCTCCTATAATCCTCCCTTTCAAAAACAGGACATTCCAAATAATGAATGTTAATGAGACGGGTGTTAATGAGAAGGGACGTGGTGGCGCTGCGGGCTAAACCGCAGAGGTCTTTGTGTGCTGCAGGGTCAGAAGACCAGCAGTCGTAAGATCGAATCTATGTGATGGAGTGAGCTCCCGTCGCTTTGTCCCAGCTCCTCGCCAACCTAGCAGTTTGAAAGCATGTAAATGCGAGTAGATAAATAGGTACCATCTCGGTGGGAAGGTAAACAGCGTCTAAGTCGGCCACGTGACAACAGAAACTGTCTTTGGACAAACACTGGCTCTACGGCTTGGAAACGGGGATGAGCACCGCCCCCTAGAGTCGAACATGACTGACTAAAAATGTCAAGGGGAACCTTTACCTTTACCTTTACCAATGAGACGGGAATAAGTGTTCATTTTCTGCACAGCAACAAGTTTAACAACTTGTCCTCCCAAAGCCTACCCTTGGATGAAACTCTACAAGAAGGTTAAAAAGGCACTGTTTACCTGAAAAAGCAGTCTTATAGGGAGTTCAAACTTCAACACAGAATTATTCTGGCTGCCTTCTGCTCACCACCATGCACCACCTATTTTGGGCCACTGCCCAGTACACAAAACTTCCTTTGGAGTAAGCAATATTAAACACAAGCATGGCTTACACCTGAGCCAATACACATGGCATGCACAACTTGGAAAAGTTAGAGTTTTGAGAAAAATAAAGCAAAGCAAATAGTCCCTTTTTCTAATCTAAAAAGTAACTTTTACAAGCTCTGATAGAATTGTGTTGGAAGTTCCTTTTCTTTCGATTTAGTGCAGCAGAATAAAAGCCATGTTTTACTATAGCTTGGGTTGAGACTGAAAGTGCAGTTCTAAACATCAGTCCATGGGCTGTGAGGCAGAGAGACTTTGATTCCAGTGGACAATTGAAGAAGGATATTGAAAAGCTAGAATGTGTCCAGTAGAGGGAGACCAGGATGGTTAAAAGTTTTGGAAATCAAGCCCTATGAATAATGGGTGAGGAAGTTGGTGCATTTAATTGAGAGAAGAGACTGAGCGGTAATATGCTAGCCATTTTCAAGTATCTGAAGGGCTGACTCATGAAAAATAGAGCAAGCTTCTTTTTTGTAGCTTCAGAGGGTAGGACCAATATAAAAGATTCAAATGATCAAATATCATTTTTATTGTTTTGCTAGATTGCTTCATTTGGTGGGGTTTGCGTGTTTTGCTATGTACAGCATTCTGAGTAGTATTTTCACTACTGTAATTGGGTGGTATAGAAACTCAATAAATAAATTACTAGAAAGTATATTCCAATTAAATGTTAAGAAGAACTCAGCTGTTTGACAATGGAATGGACTATCTCAGAAGGTGGTGGAAGATCCCTTATTGGGTATTTTTAAAAAGAGGTGAGATGGATATGCCAAGGATACTTTAGCTATGCATGTCCTTCATTGTCATGGATTGTACTTGAAGATATTGGGATATCTTCCAATGTCTCAGAATGCAGTGGTTAAACTGCAGTACTGCAATGAAGACTCTGCTCACAACCTGAGTTCAATCCTGGGCTCAAGCAGCCAGCTCAAGCTGACTCGGCTTCCAATTGTTCTGAGGTCAGTAAATTGAATACCCAGCTTTTTTGGGGGGCAATGTGTAGCCCGCATAATTAAATTGAAAATTAGCTCGAGCTGACTCGGCTTCCCATTGTTCCAAGGTCGGTAAATTGAATACCCAGCTTTTTTGGGGGGCAATGTGTAGCCCGCATAATTAAATTGAAAATCACCCAGAGAGAGTTTTAAGCACTACGGAGCATTCTATAAGCAGTACACTTTGTTTTTCCTGCTCTACAGATTTTATGATTCCTTATGTCTGTTCCAATGGGCATGTGCATGTATATTCACTCTCCTCTTGATACGGAGCATTCTATAAGCAGTACACTTTGCTTTTCCTGCTCTACAGATTTTATGATTCTTTATGTCTGTTCCAATGGACATGTGCATGTATATTCACTCTCCTCTTGAAAACATACACATAGGAAGTCATTTTGTGATTGCCACTTGTCTGGGCAGTGGGGGACACTGCACATTATACAGATCACTTTCAAAGAAGATGTGTTCGTTTTTCTATAAGCAGTACACTTTGCTTTTCCTGCTCTACAGATTTTATGATTCTTTATGTCTGTTCCAATGGACATGTGCATGTATATTCACTCTCCTCTTGAAAACATACACATAGGAAGTCATTTTGTGATTGCCACTTGTCTGGGCAGTGGGGGACACTGCACATTATACAGATCACTTTCAAAGAAGATGTGTTCGTTTGTCTCAACATGTTGGCAAAAGAAAATAAGAAAAAATAATATATTGCAACCATTCAAAAACTAATTTCTTTATTTCAGCATGAGTTTTGTGGATCAAAGTGCAGTTCCTCGGCGTGTGCAAGGAAGTAAACTTTGATCTGTGAACGCTTATAAAGAAATAAGGTTGCTAGTCTTTTGTCTATAAACAAATTATGGGTACTCTGTAGGCCAGTACTGGAACCCAAATGTAAGTAATCTATCTGCTACTAAATGTATGTTATTAGAACTCTGTTGTTCTACTAATTGTAATTCAACGGTAATTGCAATTCAAAAACAACTTGGTGATTTTTAGCAAAGCTTGAACAAGTTGCTTTGTGTTATTGTATAGCTCCCAGAATTCTCCACCAACCCACATAGCCAAGGTTATATGTTAGCTGAGGGAGTCTATGATGAAGGAATGACTTATGAGTTGTAGTAAAAAAAAAGGTAACTTTTCTCAGTGTTTTGTAGAAACTTTTGCCAAGTGGTAACTTACTTTTCATCAGTAACCATCCTTATGAAGGAAAAACTTACATGAAATGAACTATTAGTCAACTCTCAAATACAGTGAACTCCTTTTAGCTTTTATGATCCCTAAATTACCTTTGTTACGCGGCTATCAGTGGTATGATTTGACCAAGGAGAAAAGTTACTGCATGGTGCTTGAGAATTTCATTAACACCATTCTCTTCCCTTCCTGCCACAAACTGAGCACTGCTGATATGAATCCGTGTTCAAGCCCTCCTTCTTTATTCATATAGTTTAATATTAGAAGCTAATAATACAATCAAATTAATCACTGAATCAGTCAAGTGACACCAATGACTTACCCAATTTTTTCCAGGGCTTTTGTTACTTGTTCTTGCACAATATCATAAAGTGTTACTTGGAAACCACCAGACACAAAAACCATGGCCCAGCTGCATCCAATGAGTCCACTAATGAGAAAACAAGAAGAGAAGGTTAGTGTATGCATTTTATTAGTTACCGATGGTGCTGTCAAAAGAAACAACAAAAGAAAACTAGTGCTGAGCTCTCCTAGTCAAGCATTCTTTTCAAGGCCATAAGTTAAGATCTAGTCAGGGGACCCTTTTGAAAGAACCGTCCCTTAAGGAGGTAAGAGGGACGGCTTGCAGCTGCCCCCAGACTATGGAATGCCCTCCCGACTGAGATTTGTCTGGCGCTCACGTTGATGACATTTAGGCGCCAGATCAGAACCTTCCTGTTCCAGAAGTCTTTTACAGTGGTGCCTCGCTTAACGGGCTCCCCATTTAACGATGAATCCGCATA